CTGCGCTGTGAACGGCAGGCAGAGTGTTGAGCGGCGCGCTCACCGCCATGGGTACCTCTCCGGGTACAGCTTTTCAAAAGCTAACTAAACGCTTGCTGGCCGCGATGCTCTGCAGACCGGAGCGGATTCTAAAACACAGAATGGTGTCTGCAAAAACTACACCAGTTGCTGAACCAAGACAATTGCAGGACAAGCCCCTGACTGCACTAAACCCTAGGGAGCCCATTTACACCTCACCATGTATTTATTTATGTGAGCTGCGGCATGCCATTATATTATAGGAGTATAAAGGGGACATTTATTTGCCTTTGCAAAGGACCTTTTCCTTTGCCTACCTGAGGGAGGGGGTCCCTAAAAAGTCAACTTTTTAAAGGTGGCGCATAAATGTCTATAACAGTGTGCCGGTGATACCCTTCCCATGCTCAATGCCTGCTTGGGACCGCCGCAGGGCAATGCACCCACAATGCAGCCTGCAGCAATGCATTTCTCCAACACATCGCGCATCTTCTACAAAACGAGAGATTTTGTTGCGTCCGTGCGGTTTGCCTCCATTGCAATTGGTGGAAGTGTGAACGACTGACCCCCGTGTCTTTCAGGAAGAGTTTGAGATGACCATGAAAGGGTTAATGGAGACAATTAAGGCTGAAAACAAAGGGAGTTGATTTGGTGCAGGGTTGGAAGCAGACAAGTTCACTGCTGGAAATTTTTTGACTTTGCAGGGAGCTACTAAGGGGTTAACAGCTGACGGTGCCCCACTAGGTGGTGAGGAGGCGGAGGCGGGGGTGCCATGTGCAAGGGGGGTGTGTTATAGTTACCCCCCCCTATTTGATAAAACACATGAAGCCATTGATTGCAGCTCTGTGACCACCACCCCCTTGCTCCAGCCTCCAGGGGAGGAGGGAGGCCAGGCTGGATAAAGGTGTAAGCTGATGCCCCGGCAGCCAGGAAGGCAGTGCTGGTCTAGCAGGCACAGGGGGCTGGTGAAGAGGATGATGATGGCTCTGTTGGGGTATAAGACCAGGCTTGTGCTGGACAGCCAGTTGGTGGGGGGTTGGAGGAGGGGGGTGCATAGGCTCATGGGGCTCCGGGGTGCTGGGTTGGTTGAGGGGCAGAGGACGTTGCCCCAGGAGGGGGTAACAGCTGGACCCAAGAGCCTGAAGGAGATGCCTGGACCCAGCACCTTCCGCAACCTGGTGGAGTTCTTCGGGAAGGACGGATTCAGCCGCATTCATGAGATCCAGGTACGACTGGGGCAATTGGGGGGTGGGGATGCAGAGCGTGCGATCTGCTGCGATTCTGTGCGTGTATGCAATGGGGCAGGAGTATATAATGCATGGGGGGGTATTCCAGACTGGCACCTCCTGGAAGGGGCTGCTATCATTGGGGTGCCAACTTCACAAGGGGGGTATATTATATCCTGGGGTAAATCTACACTTTGACAGCTCATGGGATGGGGCACATCTGGAAAGAGAGGGGTACTGGTGGGCAAGTCTGGGGCAAAATGAATGATGTGAATGTGTAAATTGTCGGCGTTGTATAAATACCTGTAATAAATACCTGCACTGGGCATTAGGGCTAAGAAGGTTAACTGGGGTGATGCTGGGATAATATGGGATGTGAGACTGATACTGGGGTCTTAAATGGAGTGGGGTAACAAAGGGTTTGGGGCATGATTTAGGAGGTCACTGTGCAATAAAGGTTGGCAATTACATTTTTGGGGTGAACCTTAACCACAGCCCCCCTCCCCTGTTTGTAAGCGGATATCCATAATGAAACATAAAGCTGTGGGGGAATCCTCGACATTCATTGACTTTTTTTTATTTTCCTCTTCCTGGAAGGAGATCGGACCGGCAGCGAAGGGGTTAAACATTGAGCCCGAAATGTGGGAATTTCACTCGTTTTCTTATCTTTTCGCATTCTTTAGTCATTTTCAGCCATACTTTATTGCTCAAGCTAACGGAAATGCGCCGATACAACTTTATTCGCCGTACGCCAGCGATGCATTTAAAGTGCGCAGGCAGAATATTTCTCTTTTTTTTTTTTAGGGGCCATTGACATGTTTGCTGTGCGTCGTGTTAGGGCGACCTAATGCGCTAAAACTGGCCAAAATTGGTGCATGTGCAGCGCAACGCACATCCACCAGCCAGGTGCATTGGGGCGTCGCTCTGAATGAATACCTGTAATGTGCGTTACCGCAATGCAATACTGTAATTGTGCCCCCAATGGTTCAATACCCCTTATTTTATGTTTTTGTCCTCCTCTGTTGGGGAGATTTCTCTTCACTTCCTGTCCTGGGGATGCAACAGGAATCTAGAGGAAATATAATATGTTGTCATCAGAACAGGTGTCCCCATTGGAAGATTTCCCCACCCTTCCTGTCAGTGGCGTCACAAGGGGGTGCGGCCCGCATACGGGTGACACCAAAATGACTGACAGTCATTTTGGTGTCACCCCCTTTGAAAAGTTGGATACGACAGTGTCAGGAGAGAGGAGGGGACCCGGCGGCATACCTCATGCCGCCGGGTGATATGTCCCCTCATCTCTCTCCTGGCGTCCATCACCAAGATGGCCGCCAGCGGGTATCAATTAGATGACCGCGCACACGTGATGACATCACAACAGGGTGCCACCCGGTATCTGCCCCGGGTGACACCCAGCCCCGGGACGCCCCTGCTTCCTGTTCTGGTGACACTGGAACGGGTGTCCCCCATTGGAAGATTTCCCCACGCTTCCTGTTGTGGTGACAACCTGTACAATTTTTGGGATTACAGTCACTTTTTGAGGGTCAATAGCCAGGGGACAGATGAGTGAATTTTATTTGCTGGCACAAACATCAAGAAAAGCTTCTAATGCTCTCCTCCTATATCCAATGCTGCAAAAAAAGTTTCAGCGTTGCAAACTGCGGTTTAAGATGCGGTAACAGGATTTGTATGTTCCATTTTGGCGCGTGTTCACGGAACGTATACTCCCCATTCACAGCATTACCCACGAGCATTGGGTAATCGAGGGTGGGAGGGCACTGGGGCCGGCACAGTACTGTACAAAATGTGATGGGAGGGTGACGCAGGGGTAATAAAGGGATGAGAGACTGATTCTGGGGTAACAAAGTGTGTGG